AAAAAAAAAAAAAAAACCAAAATGACAAAAAGAACAACCACCAAAAAAATACCAAAATGATAGCTAATAAGAGTTTATCAAGGACAACAAAAAAAGGCAAATCTAAAGCTTAGGAAAGAAAAAGTAGTTAGTGGTATATAACTAGGAGCCTCAGCAAAGTTGAGGGATAGAAGGGGAATGATGAGCTGAAACCACAGGTCTAAGTGGAATTGCGAACCAAAACTAAGGGAACACTTATACTTAAGGAAATGAAAGAGGAAAATGAAGAAAGGCACTAAGAAAGATGAGCCAGAAGTGCTAACTTGGGAAAGTCACTCAAGACAGATTTTCACAGCATTCACTTTCTACAGCTTGTCTAATGTTCATTATAACTTTAGATTATAAACTGAACTATCTTATGACAAAATGAGTTACTATAAAAGGTTACAAGAGCCTGCAAGTTACTAAAACATGTTAATTATTCCAACTCAACCCCCAGCAGGACACAGCTAATACAAGATGATAATTATAATTAGATATTTTTTCAGCATCTCAAAGCTCAAAGAACTGTAAGTTCCCATCTTTCTTGACATCCATCCACTCAATTACTCATTCTTTGAAAAACCCCTCTCCCTTTGTCTACTTTGACAGCCAGTTCTCAGATTGTCCCCTCCTCTATCTTGGCTTTTCTTTTATATTAACTAGTTTCTTACCGGAAACTATTGGGGAACAGGTCCTTTATGTAATGTCACAATAGCTGTTTTACACAAATTCGTTTTAAATCCCAAAATATTTCAAAGTAGGGATCGTACTCCATAAAAACTAAATAGTTGATATCTGGCTACTCATAAATATATCCTCCCTAAAGGATTTTCAGGTTAAATTGAAAAATGACCTTTCTGGCCAGGCAGTGGCTCACACCTATAAATCTAGCTGAGGCAGGTGGATCGCTTGACATCAGGAATTCAAGACCAGCCTCAGTAAGGAAACTCTGTTTCTACTAAAAAATTAGAAAAACTTGCCAGGTGTCATCGCAGACGCCAATATTTCCAGCTACTCGGGAGGCTGAGGCAAGAGGATCTCTTTAACCCCAGAGATTGAGACTGCTGTGAGCTGTGATGTTGCCATAGTACTTTACCCAGGGTGACACAGAGCAAGACTCAAAAAAAAAAAACAACTTTCTATTTCCTCCAATCACAACAATAAGATTTCTCATCTTAATTTTTGAGAATACACATACACACCCCATTAGACTCCTAGCCTCTTTTCCCACAATAAATGAAAAATAATAAATCTTTAAACATGTCTTTCTGGAGACTGAACTATTTCTGTTATACAACTATACAACCCACATGTACCTAGTGTAAACTGTATGAGAGAAAACTGACTTGTACTCTAAGAGGCCAAAGCAAAAAGACTGCTTGAGGTCTGGAGTTTAAGACCAGCCAGTCTCTATTAAAAATAGAAAAATTAGCCAGGTATAATGGTCCACACCTGTACGCCCCACTACTGGAGAGGCTGAGGCCCAGGAGTTTGAGGTTGCTGTCAACTAGGCGGAGGCCACAATACTCTAGCCTAAGACAACAGCGGGAGATTCTGCCTCAGACAAAAAGAGACCAATGACAGGAGAAATACCACTTAGATGTAAATCCAATTACTATCCTTAATGGCCAATAGAAAAACTCAGTGCATTTCCTATATGTGAGTTTATTCTGAAATACATCCCTATCACACTTTGTTAATTTCAGTATTTGTTCCATTTCTTTAAACTATACAGTTGTCACATCTGGTGGAAAACTAAAACAGACTGATACACCGTAACATTATAACACATCATTAAACTGGCAGGATGCATTTTAAGGGACTACCAAAAATGAAAAAACAAACAACCACCAAAAAAAAAACCACCAAAAACTAACCTTTCCAGACTCTCTTTTTAGCATATTAGTTTACAAAAAGTTCAGGTAGGTTCATAAAACTAATGTTTAATAAAATGACATTCTCCCTCCACATCTGTAAAGAACAAGCAGCTGCTAGAGCTATAGTTTACCCAAATTTACCAAGCATCCAGCAATTACCAAAGTAACACAATCTCCCATCTCTTGGTTAAGGGCATAAGATGGAGGAGTTTGATATTTTAATAATACACCACCAGAAACCTGATCTAACACTATACCATTATAGTTTCACACTAGGTATCCTTCAGATTATTTTCAATGCATGTGATTACATTCATGTGTCTATTTTGTTGGAAACATTTTTTTAAAAGCAGAGGAAACTATTAAGGTCAACAATTTCGTAAGGCAGTTTTCATTAACAGGAGGCAGCAAGGCAGAGCAAAAAACTCAGGTTCTTGGATTAAGCACACCTGAGGATAAGCAAGCACCATGACGAAAATGTGAGGGGATCTTGAGCAGTTGAGTCACCTCTCAAAGCCTCTGTTTATGCAATGAATGCCACTTAAGCTGTTAGGAGAAATCTGTAACAGTGTATTACTATTACAAAGAACTAAAATGACATGGATATTTTTTATTTCTTTAAAGTACAGTTACCAAACAATAAAATGCCACACAATATGACCTAACATTTCAGGATATACATGTGCAGAACCAGACTACTGTTTGTGATTATTTCACTGAGTATGGCTTTCCCTATGAGCTACCACCAAGATGAACACACAGTACATTTTCAATACAAGTAGTGATTAAATCAACAAAGCCTCCAGCTCTTCTGCACACAGAATACAGTACGTTATAGGGATTTGCTAGCTCTCTTACTTAGCAGGGTTGTACCATCCTCTGCTTCCAGCTTATTCTCTATGGCTTACTTATCAAAATATTTAATCTCTTATGCTTTTTTTGTTTCTGTCTGAAAAACAAACTTCTGATCACTAGCTTTTTACTTCACCATCAGCTACTTCACATTTAAGGAATTAAATGTGTTCAACTAGCTATATGGAATGTCAATTTATCTTTGAATAATGCACTCAAAAAACAAGTGAACTATTTCAGTAACCAGCTTTATGAAGTCATCCAGCCTCATGAAAACCACCAGTAAGCTCTGTGTAAACATATTACTCAACCTGCTTAATATGAAAGTATCCCTCTGGCCCTAGACATTCTGAAAGTTTTACCACATTAGGTTTCAAAATATGTGTAGCCCTTTTTAAAAGCTATTGCTTATTGAAAAACTGGAGACCTCATTTAGCAATAAAGAAATAAATACATAGCTGTGTTGCTTTTAAAAAGATTGAAACAGGTAATATAATGAAAGGATAGCTATGATGCACTAATAGCCAATAAAATGATACACTGCATTACATTTGATCCCAATTTTGTTTCTAAAGCCTACTCATTAAATGTACACAAAAAAGTTCTAAATGGCTACACACCACACTTGACTGGTTATTGAAGGTCTTATAAGGGGAAATACTAAAGGGGGAGCGACGGAGGGTAAGCCTCTCCATTGTTTGGCTGGTTAATTTTTTCTTAAAGAGCACGCAATACCAAAGTAATTAAGAAAAAATAACTATGCCAAAAGTATACTTTCTCCTCCATACCCAAGTTCTTCAGATCTGTAATGTTAAAAACAGAGCTATGATTTCCCAATTTTAAAAGAGGACACACAAAAACAAAATAATAAAAGTTAAAAAATCTCTCTGCAAAATTAAACCGACGAGTTCTACTCATAGGTCCTCTCCACGCCGGTGTCTGCATACCCCGACCAATATGACGGGCACTGCACTTACCACAAACAGTAGAAGACGCTCAAACAAACAACAAAAAAGTAAGCAAGAAAACGTTAGCGCCTGTTCTAACCTTCTGAATCTCTTCCCAGCCCCCAAGGCTTCCCCAAGCCTACGTAGGTTGGATTCTCTTTCTTCAAAACCAAAACAACAGAAGTCACAGGGTGGATCTGAAAAGGCCCTAAGGGGCCCGCGGGCGGTTGGGGACTCTCTGGTCCCCGGGCCAGGTCAGACCCGAAGGACGGGCCTTAGGACGCGGGGCCCCCAGCCTCCCTCGATCCCTCGGTCCCCCGGACGCCAACCTCCAAACCCGGTTGGAACCCCTTGGACTCCGTGCCCCTTCGCCCCCGCCCCTCCGTGTCCCAACCGCCCCGCCTCCCCCTCAGTTCCCCAGCGCCGACTTCCAGCCCCTCGGTCCCCGCGCCCCCGACCCCCGGACCGCGACCTCCGGCCCCGTGGTACCCCTGCCCCTAACTTCCCAGTCCCCCGGCCTCCCGGCCCTGGGTCTCCCAGACCCCGACCCCAGGCTCCTCGGCGGGACCCCAGCATAGTGCACACGCAGACCCGCACGCCCCCGACCCCGCAGGCGGCGGCATTACCTGAGGCGCGGCAGCCAGTCTGGCCCGCCGCGGCGGCGCGCGGAACTAGGCGCTACGACTCCGAGGGGTTCGCGGCAGCCGGCTGCCGCCACCACCACAACAACAACACGCCCGCCGCCGCCGCCGCCGGGGGAAGGGGCGGGGCCCGAACCACCGACTGGGGCAGCCGGACAGTCCCGACCTCCGAAGCCGCCGGCGACCGGCATGCGCAGAGACCCACGGCCCAAGGAGCCGCTCCTCCAGGAAGCCAAAGTCAACAAGGCCTGGGGACGCCCCCTCTGGCTCCGCCCCCTCCAGGATGGCTCCGCCCCGGCGCCCAAACAACGCGAGGCCTTGACTAAGGCCTAGGGACGACGGTAGTGGGGGAAGATCCCGCGAGAGCAGGGCCTCCTGCGCTGCCGGAGAGCCAAGAGTTTTTCTCAAGATTGTGCCACTTTGAGGTGGCCACGCGGCGTTCGGGAGCTCCACCGGTCGGTAGTAAGCACTGCTGCCGCGCTTCCTCCACGTCGGCTGCCCGCGCCACTCGGCGAGCTCGGGACGCGGGGTCCGGTGCTGGCGGGAGCGCCCCAGACCCCTGCCGTGGGGAGGGCTGTTGAGGAGGGTTGTAAAGTTAAGAAGAAAGGAGACATTGGATGAAGCGAGCTGGGAAAACAATGCCACTGGTGACCCTAAGCTGCAAACATGCTGTTTGTACTTTAAAGACTTTTTTTTTTTTTTTGCGCAGTTTTTGGCCGGGGCCGGGTTTGAACCCGCCACCCTGGGTATATGGGGCCAGCACCCTGCCCACTCAGCAACAGGAGCCGCCCACTTTAAAGACTTATAACAAACTGCATTTAGGGTTTTTTTTGTTTTTTTTTTTTGTTTTTTTTTTTTTTTGGCTGGGGCTGAGTTTAAACCCGCCACCTCCAGCACATGCCCGGCGCCCTCCAGGCGCCGGCCCTGCATTTAGGTTTTTTTCAGCGTGTTGTAATACGCATAAAAGGCGTTATGTCTCTCCCAAACACTAATTTTAGTCCGTGTTCTGCTTTCCTGTTAATGTTGGTGCATCCCACTCCAGCCTACTGGTAGGTTTTGGAGGGTGATCTGCAGGCATCGCTTGAATTCTGTTCGGTTTTGGTTGTCAAGGATGTTAACAGTAATGGCTGGCTACCCTTATGGGTTACCTAAAGTAAATCTGAATTAGAACATTCTCAGTGCCCGGGTTACTGCTTCCCACCGTGACTGATCCCGTACACGTGTTTAGAAAGAAAACACCCACCAGGTCAAAGCTTGAAATGCCGAGATAACAGCAGAATTGCTGCTCAGGTGGTTTGTCATTCAACTCAACAGCTTCACTTTATTTGGATTTTAAGTATGAATGCGAAGCCAGTAGACCTGTAGCTCGGGACTATTCAAAGTCTATATCCATCTGCGTCCTGGAGTAGCGCTGTGGGTCACAGCTTTCTGCCTGGACTCAGGGTACTCCTAACTGTGACTGAATCATAACAGTCTTACAACAGAAATTTTGGCGTTTGAAGACATCTTACTATAAATGAAAAAATCAAGTTAGGAGGGTGGCGCCAGAAACTATGCCCATGGCCCAGTGGTTCCAGCGCCAGCCACATACACTGAGGTTGGCGGGTTCGAATCCGGCCTGGGCCAGCTCAACACCAATGACAACTGCGACAAAAAATAGCCAGGTATTGTGACTGGTGCCTGTAGTCCCAGCTACTCAGGAGGCTGAGGCAAGAGAATCTCTTAAGCCCAAGAGTTTGAGGTTGCTGTGAGCTGTGATGCTATGGCACTCTACCAAGGGCGACATAGTGAGACCCTATCTCAAAAAAAAAAAAAAAAAATCGAGTTAGGAAAATAGTTAAAATCTTTAAATAACTCTCTGACAGTTCCCCTATTTTTTCTCCGTTATTTTACATGGTTACTTTCTTCCTTCTCTACTGGGAATCTTTTAGAGTTTTAGACCTTTTGTTTGTTTGTTTTCTATGGCATTAAAGTGGGACACAGTTCATTTTTTATTACTACTAGTAGGTACTTTGTTTTTGAACAGGACTAAGTGAGACTCTGGGGTGAATAATTGAACAACAGATAAGGGAGCTAGCAAGGGATGGATATAGACTTTGAATAGTCTACCATTTCTGATTATTCCTCCAGTTAGCTTGCTTGCTTTTTTTTTTTTTTTTTTTTGTAGAGACAGAGTCTTACTCTATCACCCTTGGTAGAGTGTTGTGGCATCACACAGCTCACGGCAACCTCCAACTCCTGGGGATAGGCGATTCTCCTGCCTCAGCCTCCAGAGTAGATGGGACTACAGGGGCCCACCACAATGCCCAGCTATTTTTTTGTTGCAGTTTGGCGGGGGCCGAGTTTGAACCCCCCCACCCTTGGTAAATGGGGCTGTCCCCCTATCCACTGAGCCACAGGCACCACCTCCAGATAGCATTTTACAAGTATAATTTACTTCTACGTGTCTTCCTGCTAATTTGTAATCATGAAGTCTGAGCACATGCCGAATGTGTTCATGATTTCTTTTCAGGACTTGGTACAGTGTCTGCTAAAACATTGATACTGTGCATTTGTTGAATGGGTAATTTAAATTTTAGATTATCCTATCCAATCTAAGAATTACTTAGATTTATTTAGACACTGATTGATTTAGATAACACATAGCCAGTTTATTCCTGGAGTTCTTGATTCAATGCTGCAGCAAGTCTGGTCCTGGCAACAGCAGTAACACATGTTCTAAAAACAGTTCTTCATCCCAGTTTGCTTCAGTTTTATTATTAAGCAGAATAATACCCAAAGTGTACTTTTTTATTATTAAACAGAATAATACAGAAAGTGCTTCAGTTTTTATTATTAAGCAGAAAAATACCCAAAGTGTAATACAGCTGTTTGAGACTCTTCAAAATACAGTGAAGGCAGAAACCTTGTTACATCAAAAATACTCTACTATTTGGCAGTGCCCATGCCTCAGTAGGTAGGGCACCAACCACATACACCAAGGCTGGCGGGTTTGAACCCAGCCCTAACCTGCTAAAACACCAATGACTACTGCAACAAAAATATAGCCAGGCATTGTGGCAGGTGCCTGTAGTCCCAGCTACTTGGGAGGCTGAGGCAAGAGAATCGTTTAAGCTCAAGAGTTTGAGGTTGCTGTGAGCTGTGATGCACGGCACTCTACCAACGGTGACATAGTGAAACTATCTCAAAAAAAAAAAAAAATGCTCCACTATTTGAATGTATAAAGCATTCAATAAAAGTTTATTTTAAACTAAATCGTATCCAACCAAAAATTACTCTTACCATGGCTGGAGTTCATACTTCCCACATGCTTGGCAGTTAGCATTGTTGCATGTTTTACTAAGCCTCAGAATTAGAGGTTTTGCCCATTTTAGAAAACAAATTTAGTTAGTTGGGAAGATGGTGATTGTCTTAATATGTTCAGGCTGCTACAACAAAATATCATTAACTGGGCAACTTACAAACAACATATTTCTCAGTTCTGGAGTCTAGGAATTTAAAGATCAAGGCTCTAGCAGATTCATTGTCTGGTGAAATCTGGTCTGGTAGAAGCAGAACATCTCTCTGGAGCCTCTTCTATGAGGACACTAATCACCTTTCAACAGCCCCACCTCCTAATCCTATATCACATTAGTGATTAGGTTTTGACATGTGAGTTTTAGGGGTCACAATATTCAGACCACAGCAGTAATGTTTTCTAGAGCGTAACTGGAGTTTGAAAATGAAGGTGAGGCCGGGCAAGGTGGCTCATGCCTGTAATCCTAGCACTCTGGGAGGCCAAGGCAGGTGGATGGCCTGAGCTCACTGGTTCTAGAACAGCCTGAGCAAGAGCAAGACCCTGTCTCTAAAAAAAATAGCTGGGCATTCTGGTAGGGGCCTGTAGTCCTAGCTACGCCAGAGCTTGAGGCAAGACAATCACTCTAACCCAAGACTTTGAGGTTGCTGTGAGCTGTGACATCACAGCACTCTACCAAAGGTGACAAAGTGAGACTCTGTCTCAAAACAAAATGAAAGCAAGAAAAGAAAAGAAAAAAGAAACTGAAGGAGAAAGGCTGAGTCCCTAGATTTCGGAGAAGTGATGGCTCTCACGTGGCAGGTGTGCCACAGAGAGGTGTTGGGTAGAATTTCTACAGTATGTAACGATCTGAAGGAGGAAGAATAAACACTATAGTTTCTTGACTGGTTCATTCATGCATTCATTCATTCAACAACTATGTATTAAGGGATGGGCTATGTTGGGCAAAGGAGATACAGCAGGTAGTTTCAGAAAAGCTGCCTTATTGGAGCCCCTATTTTAGTGAGCTCTATGTAAAATAGAAATTGTGGACTATTAGTGCAAATAATTTCTTCTTTTTTTTTTTTTTTGGCTGGGGCTGGGTTTGAACCCGCCACCTCCAGCATATGGGGTCGGCACCCTACTCCTCTGAGCCACAGGCGCTGCCCCAAATAATTTCTGAACTTTGCATTTCCTTGGAAGTCAGTTGGTCAGCTTTTCATGTTTTACAGGCAGGTTGAATGTTAGTTATAACTTGGAACTTATACTAGATTCAGTGCTGGTGAGATAATTCTTCCAGTTAAACAAAATTAAAAAATTACTGACAAAATTTCTTTTAGGAAAATAACGATTTCTATTTTATTAAAGTACTGACTTTAGGGCTCCTGCGGCTCAGTGGGTAGGGCACCAGCCCCATATACCAAGGGTGGCGGGTTCAAACCCAGCCCCAGCCAAACTGCAACAAAGGAATAGCCGGGCATTCTGGCAGGCGCCTGTGGTTCCAGCTGCTCGGGAGGCTGAGGCAGGAGAATCACCAAAGTTAGAGAGTTGGAGGTTGCTGTGAGCTGTGTGACACCATGGCCATGGCACTCTACCAAGGATGATAAAATGAGACTCTGTCTCTACAAATAAATAAATAAATAAATAAATAAAGTAGTGACTTTAAAATTACTCATATATTTTTTAATCTTTATAGATATCTTTCCTTTATAAAAAATGCTGCTTGTAGGTTTGGCGCACGTAGCACAATGGTTATGGTTCAGCCACATACACCCAGGCTGGCGGGTTGGAACCTAGCCTGGACCTGCTAAACAACAATAACGACTGCAACAAAAAATAGCCAGGCACTACGGCAGGGGCATGTAGTCCCAGCTACTTGGGACGCTGAGGCAAGAGAATCACTTAAGCTCAAG